CAACTTGTCTGTTCCCCTTCCCCCAAATCCCCAGTGCTGTTCCCATCCCCCAATTCCCCAATAAAAATCTTAAAAAAAATTTAAAATATGAACAAAATAAATGAAAAGATGGGAGAAGGTCAACAGATATATATGGTACGTATGTCGTGGGAAAAAGAAATAATAGAGCAAGTGTGAGACTGCTAGCCTTTGAAAGGTCTGCCACAAGGGTGTCCCTTGGCTGGCACCTGGGATCTTGGATTTCAGGAGGGTTCTCACCATTCCCTGATAAGAATGGTTCACTTACCCTAAACTGTTTGTTTAATAGCATGGTTTATGCTGCACATATGCATTCCTTCTGGAGTTTGAAATTTTATGTGCTAAGCAAAGAGTACATATGTGACCAGCCCCTGATAAAAGCTCTGAGCACTGAGTATCTGTTGAGCTTTCCTGGCAGACATTTCAGTTATCATCACAGATCATTGCTAGAGGACTTAAGTGTATCCTGGGAGAAGACTCTTAGAAGCTTGTGCCTGGATTCCTCTAGTCTATGCCCCATTGCCTTTTCCCTCTGCTGATTTTGCTTTGTTTCCTTTCACTTTAATAAGTCATAACCATAAGTACAACTACATGCTGAGTCATCCCAGTGAATCACTGAACCTGGGGATGGTTCTGGGGACCTCTGATACATGTGTATACATACATGTGCACATATGTATGTATACATACATGTGCATATATGTGTGTATACATACATACATAAAATAGGCATTCTAGAGCTGAAAAATACAACATCTGAAATTAAGAACTCATTACATAGGTTCAAAATCATACTAGAGAAAGAAGACACAATCTGAAATATGTACGTGTATACATCTAACAAGAGTATCTAAATACGTACAGCAAAAACTGATAGAACTGAAAGGAGAAACAGACAAATCTATAATCACAGTTGGAGACTTCACTTGTCTTTCAGTATTGAGAGATCAAGCAGGCAGAAAATCAATGAGTATACAGATGACCTGAACAGCACTATCAATTAACATGATCTAACTGACTCCATCCAAAACAATAAAATACACATTCTATTATTCATTCCAGCTCACATGGAACATTCACCAAGATGGACCATAGTCTAGGCCACAAAACACACCTTAATGAATTTAAAACAATAACCAATCATACAAAATATGTTCTCAGACCACAATGGAATTAAATAGAAATCAATTAACAAGAGATAACTGGAAAATCTCCCAAGAGCTTGAAAATAGAGCAACACACTTATAAATAACCAATAGGTCAAAGAAGAAGTCTCAAAAGAAAGTTTAATATATTTTAAATGAAAACGTCACTTGTCAAAATTTGTGTAATGCAGTGAAATGAGTGCTTAAGGGAAATTTATGTAAAATGCACATACTAAAAAAAAGATTTAGGGCCGGCCAAGTGGCTCAGTTGGTTAAGAGCGCAAGCTCTGAGCAACAGGGTCGCCAGTTCAATTCCCACATGAGCCAGTGAGCTGTGCCCGAGCTGAGCTGCTGCTGAGCTGCCAACAGGTGACAGGATGGCTCAGCTGGTGAGAGAATGTGCTCCTAACAAAAAAGTTGCTAGATAGACTCCTGCATGGGATGGTGGGCTACGCCCACCTGCAACTAAGATTGAACACAGCACCTTGAGCTGAGCAGCCTTGAACTGCCGAAGGGCGGCCAGATGGTGACTGGAATTGGAGCTGAGCTAGCTGCGCCCTCCACAACCAAGACTGAAGGACAACAACTTGTTCCCCTTCCCCAATTCCCCCAAAAAATCTTTAAAAAAAAGATTTAAAATCAGTAAACCAAGCTTCCATTTTAGTAAACAAGAGAAAAAAGGCAAATTAAGCCTAAAGCAAGCAAAAATAAAGAATACAATAAAAATTAGAATAAGTCAATGAAATGAAAAAATAGAGAAAAAAAAAGAAATCCATGAAACCAAAAGCTACTTCTTTGAAAAGATCAATAAAATTAAGAAACCTCCAGACAATCTCACCAAGAAAAATGAGAAAAGAAACAAACTGGAAGCTCAGAAATGAAAGACACTATTGATCCTAAGGGACATTTAAAAAATGAGAATATTACAAATAATTCTATTCCTGAAAAATTGAAAATTTAGATGAAATAGACAAATTCTTTAAAAGACAGCTATAGGGCCGGCCGAGTGGCGCGATGGTTAAGAACTGGCTTGGGATGCCAGAGGGCCCTGGTTTGGATCCCACCTATGAGGGCCAGTGACACTGCCCTCAGCTAAAATGCTGAACAACAGCTCAACCTGGAGCTGGGCTGCTGTGAGTCGCCGGTGTCGGCGTAGGCTGCAGCCCCTGTGGCAGTGGGTTGCCATGGGCTGCCGTGTGTAGCCAGCAGCCAGCATGAGCAGCCAGTAGCTGCAGTGAG